TGGAGACAGAGACAGCGGCGACCCGCCGGGGCTGCGTGACGCCGATGATACCAGATTTGCTGTAGCCTCGCCGGTGAAGCATCTGAGAGAGTTGAGTGCTCTTTCCGGAACCGGTCTCACCGATTACTACCACAACCGGATTCTGCTCAACCGTCTCTATGATTTTCTCTTCGTATTGGACTATCGGAAGGTTTGCCATTGACAAAGGAAACCGAAAGCTCCAACCTGACACAAATTCCACTCCAAGCTTTCGAGAGTGTAACTTGTTCAGGATTTGGAAATTGGGACTACAATCACAGTATGTTGTCGCGGTCGCGGGTTTTGTTACTTGGGCATTGAACTTTAAATTATAGTGCAGACTAATTGAATAACGTGAGTTAAAAATATTAATAATACTACTTTCTCAATATAAAAATTAGTTGACTAATTTAAATAGATTAAAAAATTTAGTTAAGTTAGTTTTTTATTGTCTTAGTTAAGTTAGTTATTAAGCTAGTTATTTATAATAAATAGATACTCATCCGGTCCTTAATATAAGACCTATTTAACTAATTTGATTAGAATAAAGAAGTTAGATAAGTTAGTTAATTATAAGAAATGTGACACGTTTTTCCTAAAATATTATAATCATCTTTCTTAATACCCATCTTCCTCTTCTACTTGATTATAATTGAAAGAATATCTATATGAGTAATTTAGAGAAAATTGATAAACATAAGAAATGGGTCTTATATTTAGCATCAAAACCAACTCAACAATTGGGTCTTATATTAAGAATCGAAAGAGTATTATATTTCTTAAAATATTTTAGAGCTACTATTATTACAAAGACTATTTAAAAAAAAAGAATAAATATGATAGACAAAGTATATTAGAATTTTATATTTAGAACCAAAATAAAATTCAAACGAGTTTTTATATTAAGAACTGGAGGTAATATTGCTTAATTATTTAATTTTAGTAATATTATACTACCTCCATTCTTAAATATAAAAACTAGTTCACCAATTTGAGTAGATTAAAAAAAAAGTTAAGTTAGTTATTTATAATAAATAGGTGTTATCCTTCCTAAAATATACTTGCTAATTTAGAACTATCATTATTAGAAGGATTATCTTTAAAAAAAATGGATAAATATGATAGACAAAATGGATTGAAGTCTTATATTTAGGATTAAAATAAAAATCAAACTAAATCTTATATTAAGAAGGTAGTATATTTTTTAAAATATTTATATATATTATTAAACTGTATATTAATTTATAAGCGAAATAAATTAGTTTAAAAAAATATAAATAATGTAAAGTAATTGAGTAAATAGGAGTGGAGGACTGGAGCTAGTATTATATTAGGGCTTTTGCAATTAATATGGAAATTGGGACTATAATTGCAATATTTTCTCGCGGTCGCGGGTTTTCTTACTCGGGCATTGAACTTTAAATCATACCATCTGTACTAGCTAATGAATAATGTGAAGAGATTAAAAAAAAATATCAATTTATAAAGGAAATAAATTAGTTTAAAAAATATAAATAATGTAAAATAATTTAATAAATAGGACTGGAGGTAGTATTATATGAGGGCTTTTGTTTGAGGATTTTTCTTCTTTTTTTTTTTCATGGTTAGAAGGAAATTGAAGAGGGAGACACAAATTTTGTTGGGAGAATTATCATGGAGTCAAAAAAAAAATAATTCTAAAAATTCTTAGTAACAAGTGAGAACTTGTTATTTTTTATCCTGAAACTTATCTTTACAGACTATTTGGAATTTTTAATAATTATATTTATTCCTTAAAATTTTATTACAATTCTCTCAATTTTGTTTGGCATGAGAGAAGGAAAGAAGAATGCCGTTTGTTGTTGTTATGACTTGTTACCCTTTTCTAATGTCTTTTGTAATATCCCAACATTTCAAATGTTTTTGCATTGTCTAGAGTTAGAATATGGATGAACAGTTTCAAGATTATGGTTGATGTCTTGATGAGACTAGAGGCACCAACAAGACTGCAACGACAAATGCTGAGAAGCAACCTGAGAATCCATTATCATCTTGCTCACCTCTGTTTATTTCCTTCTTTTCAATGAGCTTCTTTGATGCCTTTCTATCTTTTGCACCAGTCGCCAATATCGACGTATTGGTAGATTTGATGACACTTTCAACTCCAATATCCTCCAAATTTGCCTTCTCGAACACCTCACTCCACTGAACAGAGCTTGCAATGGAAGTTGCAGAATCGCCATATGCATTTACTAAAATCATTTGAGCAGAAATCTCCAGATTTTGTCACAGAGTTGAAGTTACAATTAGCATTATTGATCTGACATCTAAGAGTGTTGCATAATCCAAGCTTTGCAGCCATGTGACTTGGAAGAACAAAGGTTTATTCATTTGTTTGAATTGCTGCTTCAGAATCTGCATTGGGATTTAGGAGTACAATAGTGAGGCGTATGAAGGAGACATTTGTTTGGAGAAAGAAACGCAGAGTCTATTGTCGTTTGCAAGGCCTCTTTTTGGCTATCAAAGAAGGAATTTGATGTGTGAACTGAGGAGGAGTTCATAAGAATCGCCATTTTTAAGAAGCTTTGAAGCCTCTGTGGCTTTCTCAGTGGAAAACCAGGAAGGCAGAGACAAAGGAAAGCTTGTTTTATAGTACAAAGCTACATATCAGGCATTTGCTAAATAGACTTGTTATTATTATTAAACAATATGTATTTTTATTTTTATTTTTCCATTTATGAAACTTGTTCTCTTTCTTCCTCTTTGATTTTAATTTCAACGGTCATGAATGGACCACTCTGAGTTGTTGATATTGTACACAATGAAGCAATTGATTTGTACTTGAAAGTAAGAGGCATATGATTTATGAGGGGGTCATGAACTCATAATCATACAGAATAAGGATAAACAAAATTTTGTTTATCCATAATATCCATCAATATCAGTAAAGTGGTGTCTCTTAAGAGGAACTTCCTTCTCCTTCATTTCATCACCTACAAACAGTAGTTGTGATGGAGAAACAAATGAAATGAGTGAGCGTAATATCAACATACATATATACGTACGTACGTACATATGTATATACATACATACGTTCATAAAACCCTCTTAAAATCGTTAGTAGAAGAGCATAATAAGGGAATAATTATCCCTTAAAAGTCTGAAGTGATTACCATTATCACTTTTGACATAGGACTCAATTCTTGACGAATGGCAGAAGAAATTGATTTTATTATTCAACTATCAAAATAAAACTATGCATACATATCATATGTGGGAACTAATTTACCTCATGGTTAGAACTCTATGACCGCTTCTTATAGGATTCATTCACTGAATGTTGAAAGAAATTGAAATTACTCCCATCAATCCTAAATATAAGAGTCATAAAGCTAATTTACTTATACATATCAGTTGAGTACTTGAGTTAGTTATTTAGAAAAATCTGTTTTATTTCTCTTAAAGTACTCCCTTTGATCATTTGCATAAGAAATTATTTCTACCGAAGAGAACTCCTTTTATATACATGCAATAATTCAAAACGAAATTATAAATTTGAGAGATAAAAGTATATTGAAGTTTTACATTTAGGATCAAATCAAAACTCTCTACTAAAGATAAAAGTATATTGAAGTTTCACATTTAGAATCAAATCAAAACTCTCAACTAACTCTTACATTTAAAATTGAAAAAAGTATTATTCAAGCAACGAAATTAAACTAATCATAAATTAGATTAGAACCAATTTGCTTGATAGCTAGATACAAATTAATAGAAACAGAGAAGAGAATCTGAAGTGAGAGTATATATTAAAGAGAGAGTGACGTAGAATCCTACCAATATAGATGTTGTAAAGTTAATCCTTATAGAAGAAGATGTTAGTTTAGGAGTGAGAGAAGGAAGAAGAAGGAGGAGGAGTCTTGAGCACATCATAGTGACCATAGCCATGATACATCAGTTGGATTGGGCTCTCCTTCCCATACTCTTGCCCATATTCTGCTATTACCTTCACCCCTCCATTGTTCTTGTCTTGCATCACCACTCTTATTGGCATCCTACACATTCCATTACACACGTACCCCTTATTAATTATGCTTCCCACATACCAAGTTTTGAACAAAATAGAGCAGTAAGATTTTCATAAGAGATCATCCAAATCCTTATCCTTAGAATTATAACACAAAAGCTAGCCTAGAAAATCAGAGAGAGAGAGAGAGAGAGAGGCTTTGGAAAGGTGAAGTGATTTTACTGTAAAACATGAGAGGACATGAGAAGTTCAGGCTCTCCTCCCCATATGTGAGGCTTTCTCATTTGCCCTGTGTAGGTTTCAAAGTCACCCTCTAGAAACCTGTATAATATATAAGCATTACACAGTCGTCGTCCAATGGAAGCAAAAAAAAAAAAAAAAACAAAGAAAGAAGATATAGTAATTATTTATAAACAGGTTTGATTATTTCTTTATTGACATTTTTCTCTAAAAAGATATTTTTTAAAAAAAAAAAAAGTTATGAATCATAAATACCACTCAGTGTCAGCTCTCCTCTTGATGAATTCATCCACTACCTGAAATACAAACATTAATTTAATGTTTCTTCCGTGAGACAGATAGGTTACACTATGCATGTAGCTTTAGAAGGAAGCAGAACACTAGCTAGTGAGAGATCTCATGTGTATGTTGGAGATACATAAATATATATATATATATAAATATTCTAAGATTAAAAGCTTAAAGTATTCTTCAACAAAAGGTCAAAAAGAAGTACTCTTCATTAAAATTATGTAAAAACATGCCAACCAAACATAGATCAAGAGGTAAAAGACAGTATATAGTACTTTGTTTCTGAGATCATCAGCGAGTTGTTTTTGCTTGGATTGACTTGGAGATGGGTCTCCAGATCTGAGACAGGCTCCGTACACAACTGATCTAAACAGACACCTTCCATCTCCAGGTACTCCTGCTCTATACAAATCCTTCCAATTCAATTTCACTTCTACTACTAATAATAATAATAATCGCTATATTCGTACTTAAATTCATTAAATAAATATATCACTAGTAAACTGCAGGAAAGTAAAAGGATATAAAAGTAGTAAAAGCGAAACGTACGAATCACAGAAAGGCGAGAAGGGTCGTCGTTGACAGGATGCGATGATTTTTCTGGTTTTGACATCATAGAGAAAGAGGAAATGAGGAACATTAATTTGCAGAAACACAGTTTGATAAATGCCATAGAGAGAACAAAACAAGAACAAAGAGAGGATGATAAGGAAGAGAGAATCACCAGGTTGGAGATGTCTCTTTTGGGGTTTGAGGTGAAGTTGATGGCTAATTCCTGCTAGCTTCATTTTTCTGGGGAGGATCGAATCCGATGCCATACACACACACACATATATATATAGTGCTTTCTTTATTCTTTAGTTTGTGGGTTTGTGTGTGTGGTTCAACTCTATCATACAGTCATAATTTCTTTGGGAGGGAATGGGTGATGCCTTGCCACGCCACAAGAAACTGATAAATCAGGCAAAAGGTTTTACTCCCTCTTGGGGTGTTATCTTTTCCCCTTTTTTTGGGTTGTCTGTCTGAAAGTCAATATTACTGTCTAATGTTCAAATTTAAATCCCATGCATTTTATGAATAATATATGATTATATATATAATTGATGTGTATTGTATGAGATAAAATAACTAATTTATGAAAATAAGTTAAGTTGGTTATTTAGAAAAATATGTTTTAATTTTCCTTAAACAATCACTTTAATAAGAGCTGCTCCTTTTTTTAACTAATAAGATTAGTCAATTAAATAAATATCATAAAAAATTAAATTTTGAATTCTTATAGTTTTGACTCAATTGTAATTCATTCTAACTTGATACTACCTCCGGTCCTTAATATAAGACACTGTTTGACTTTTATTTTGATCTTAAATATAAGACCCCGATCTATTTTGTCTCTCATATTTATCTTTTTTTTTTTAAGATAATCCTTCTAATAATAATAGTTCTAATCAATACACTTGATTACTAAGAATATTTTTAAAAAAATAATACATATTTGTTATAAAAAAACTAACTTAACTTGTTTCCTTAGTTTACTCAAATTAGTCAACTAACTCTTATATTTAAGACGGGAGATAGTATAACTTAATGCATATAATTTTGACTTAATTATAACTTAATTGCTAAGTCAAAGTTTTAGAGACCAATAACAAGTCAAAATTATAAGAATTGAATTACATAAATTAAATATTACGAACAAAATCACAAATGAGTCAAATTCACAGGCGTTAGGAGATCAATTTCTCCAAAATATTAATATAACTCGGGTGCCTAAATATTTTTGGGGCACGATCCTGCAATTCATGGTGATGTCATGAGATGAAAGGCAATGCATTACAGTTCATTTGTCGCTATGACCCCTTAACGCAAAATGTTTCCATGAACTATTCTCGTAACACTGTCTATCATAGGGCCATCCAATTCTTGAATTTTAGAAAGCCCTTCTTTAGCTTTTACATTCCCAAAAAAAGATCAGAAATCTTTGAGTTGTCGGAAGGGTAAGGTTTGCCGCAGAATCTTGGTTTCAAGCAATCTGGCCTTCTTATGCTTCAATCTTTCCATTGCATCACCCTCCAATTCATAGATATCAGTATAATCTATAAGAACTGAAATATTCTGGTAATTCATAGATATTCTATTCTCGTTTCATTCTTACCAAGTTGGCGTACTCTGCTTCAATCTTCCAAAATGTCATCAGCCAATGTTTCTTTGCAAGTGAGTTCTCTATTTCAATGGAAATTCTGTAATATATGAAGAAGAACGGATCATTTATAAACAATTCATATTGGACTTGATAGATGTCACGAGCATTCAATACAATGCAACAGTTCAGATGATATATGAACACTAGGATGTTCTTCTCTTTTGATTTGGATTTTGATTTTTCAGCAGAAAGCCGTAACCAGAAGCACGAAAACTGGAAATCGACTCCTACATGCCTCTGGAGTTTCGATCTTAGCAATGGCTGACATTGCCTACAGAAAAACCCTAGAATTTGATGGACCATTAGGTTCAGCCTGGAGAAGCATCGTAAATCTTGCAGAGCCTGCAAATCCTATCATCCACGCTGTTCAATGTCAATGGTTAACGATCCTGTCCTTTCTGGATGATCAATTTGTAGTAGTTCAAAAGATAATCGAGGCATTGTTTCCGCCTTCATCGCATTTGTTCGTCAAGAATGACGATCTTGTGCTTGTGATAATGTCCCTGCCAGAAAAATTCGATGATGCTCTGAACAAAATTCCTGAAATTATCCACCAATTCCCGGCTCTGGAGTGCACATTGCTCTATCTAATCTCGTGGTTAAATTGTTTGGTTTCTACATCGATCCGTTGTGGATTGGATTACTCAGAGAGAACTGACAACGATGAGAGTAATCATGAGGGAATTAGGTTTTTTTCTGTATTAGAATCATCACCAGAGCCTTCTGAAGCTGCAAGCAAAAGGGACGCCATGGAAGCTTCAACCCAGAAGAGAGGCTCATACAAGGAAGCATTAATGAAAGATGAGGATGAGGGTGTGAACGGTGGTGTCCAGAAGATAGGCTCATACAAGGAAGCATTGATGAAAGATGAGGATGAAGGAAGGATGAAGAAAGAAGATCAAATTCTGGGATTGTTTGAATCTGGATGGACTCTATGAAGCATGAAACATGTTATTTGAAAAGAAAATTGGATGGATTCTGTTCGTGGTGATTGATGATGATAATACGAACAAGAAAATGCGGCCTCATTGTCTGTGGGTTTTGACCGTTATGGTTCTCAGGTTCCCTGTATAGACTAATGGCACTGCCACTGACAATTCATGTTAATCATTAGGGCAACCATATTATTCAGTTTTTATTTTTTTTATTGTTCAAGTGTTTTGAATGAATAGCTTTATCTTGTATTTCTGTTCTGTGCATTGTAGACGCTTAACTAGAATCAAATACTCCGAGTTCTATGAGAATTATGACAATAATTTTTTTTCCTTTTTAAGAGATTCATTTGTTATGCTTGTTATCTCTGGCGCCTTGATTTGCTTAAAGACACGAGAAATATATACGCACACAAAAGAAGCCGATTGATTACTACCCTAGTATGACATCATGCCATCATGTCCTTTCTTTTCTTTTTATTTTTTTTGATACACTAGAAAATAAAGCACGTCTACTGTTATCTAGTGGATGCCATTATCTCCTATAACGATGGAAGATTATGGATCCAAATTTTCCAGTATGCATAATAGAATTTTTTTTCATTTATAATCATTGAAAAATAAAGTTATCATTTAATTTTAAAATTCACTACTACCTTTTAAGCAAAATATAGTTCCATCGCGATCAATAATTCAAATTGTTGGCAAAGAAATAAAAGGTCTCATATATGGCAATTTCTTATTATCATCACTCCCACAAATTACACACACGGACACACTGGTTGAAACTGGTATTGATTTGATAATACTCTTCCGGTTCTTAATATAAGACCCATTTAACTAATTTGATTGGATTAAGAAAGTTAGGTAAGTTAGTTAATTATAAGAAATGTAACACATTTTTCCTAAAATACCATAATTATCTTTCTTAATACCCCATCTTCCTCTTCTACTTGGTTATGGTTGAGAGAGTATCCATAAGGGTAATTTAGAGAAAACTGATAAATATGAGAAATGGATCTTATATTTAGAATCAAAATCAACTCAACAATTAGGTCTTATATTAAAGACCAGAAGAGTAATTGGCTTTTGGAAACCAGCTAAGGATCTTATTAGGCCAAGAGTCTCCCGTGAAAAAGTTCTTGTTAGGCTTCTCCATAGGAGAGGATTCGCATGCATTCAAAAATCAAAACCCGTTATTTTCAGATCTGACTTTTTTTTTCAAATTAAAATAATAGACACTAAACAAACAAGCAGAACCAAACCCACGACCTCCCACTTGCGCACGAGCATAAGGCCTTTGATCACATATGACCTTTTGCTGGGTGACCTTCCCATGATTTGCCTTAAATATGTTTATAAGCCAAAACTAATGATGCAAGGCATATCTCCATTACTTTTTACTCATTGATCTTATCCCTTTGAGGGAAAGGTATTTGAGAATCAAAATATAAAAGTAAATCAGTTGGTTCAAAATCGAAGCAACTTTGAGAATAGGCAAATGCTTTAACTCAAGCCTCAACTACTCTTCACAAATATGGGCTTGGATATTTCTACGAGTCAACTTCAGAAGAACTCGACGCAAGCATTACTGCATTAAGACGAAATACCGATCATGACGGCACCACGCGCAATACGAGGCGAGTAACATGGACCGAAGATGACGCCCACACGTCGGAATTAATTTGCGGGAGGAAAATGACATGGCCACGCACGCTTGGACCACCTCCCTCCAAACCTGGCCGTCCAAGTTACTAAATCCTATCGCGCTTGACAACTCCTTACGCGACACACCATTCACAATCACAAACTACCTCTCCATTTTTGAATCTATCACTTTTTAATATTACAATGAACAGAGGAACAGAAGAAAACAAAATCCATAAATTACACAGGACTGTACATCTCTTCTTCGCTAGGAAGACCCCAAAAAAAAGGAAAAGTAAAGAAAAAAAGGCACTAGTGGCGTGGGATCAGCGCAGGGAAGAAAACTAGAGATACAAGCAGAAATTTACAACACAAGGATCCTAACACTGGTAAACAGAATAGCTCTTGGTTTTCCATAAAAAGCTAAGCGCCCTCCCCATTTTTCTCCTAGACATTGACTTACACAACGGTTTTGCTTCAGGAGGCGGCATCTCTATGTCATCAGTTTCTGGCGGAAACTGGTGTGTCTTGGGAGGTGAATTGTCTCGCTGTCGCTGCTCCCTGAACAGCATCAAGAGTTTCTGAGCTTTCTCTCTTCCTCTTGAGGAACCATTCACTGATAATGAAACCAATGCAGGTATTACACCTTCTTGCAGGACCATCTGGCTACATATTTCATTCCTGTTACATAGAATTAATAGACAAGATAGAGCTTGCTCTTGCTCAACGAGCTCACCCGTGTCCAGTATGGTAGCCAATGCGCCTATGAGCCCCGGAGATGATATCATTTCCTCCCTTCCCAACTGAGAATGAGCCAAATTGATCAAAATAGCTATGCATTTTTCCGTCCCCACACTATCACCCTGGCCTGCAAGGAGGGATTGAAGGCCATTGATGATGCCTGATGAAAGGAGGTTTGGAATATTGGAGGGTACAGTAGATAGATTATACAATGCATGAAGGGAATCTTGCTTGCACAGGACTTCAATGTCAGGCTGACACAGAAGCTGGATGAGGAACTGAACAGCTTGACTCATGCCAATCATACGCTTGGCTTCTTCAAGGCAAGAGAGATTCAGATAGAGGGCCGTTGCACAGCCACAGGAGGAGGAATTAGAGATCATTTCCTCTAGCAATGATAATAGTCCTGCCGCTAACATGATCTGCTTATTCCTGTTGGACAGAAACAGGATTAAGTCTATATTGACGATAAGCCAATACCTTTTTAAGTTATAAACAATAACTTTATTGTGAAATATCTAAACCAAAAACTAATGCTGAAAAATAACATAAGTAAAACTTGAGCCATGTTTATAACCATATCATTGTCAACATTGACCATGAATGATCAGTTTTCAACACCAATTTACTTTATGCATGTCATCTCTTTACTTCTTCTCCTGTTTATTTATTGAGGAAGAAAGGGGCATCGCTCCATTCTAGAACTACCACACCAGACAAGCCCCATGATGTGCTGTTCATCTTCACCATCAAGTAGAGCAGCACTCCCATTACAAGATGAAATGCAGGAGGCAAATCAACAAAATGAGCAGATATAATGCACTTGAAACAAGTTATTCACAAGTTGACCGTGGTCTAGAATTTTACATAAAAAGAGCCCCATGAAAAATAATAATTGGCCGAAAGACGAGCAGATCAATATGATAATGAAAATATCTTAGATCTACTAGTGGTTTGATTCTGTAATCACATGAAAAGCAGTTCTACGCAATAATTTAAAACTGTCAAGATTGAAAAAGCAATGCCCACCTGTTGTTATTTACAGCAAGGTTAAAGAGGGCCATTGCTCCACTTTCTTGAGCTGTCACATTCCCTTCAGACACTGCTGATTGCAGAAACTGCAGAAGTGCTTCAACAAACCCATTTGCCCCCATAAAAATCCTGGCTTCTTCATCATCCCTCAGCAAAAGCCTTAACCTTTCAACCACTTTACATTTCCTTTTCCAACTGTTCCCTTCAGTCAAGACTTTCAGAAAACCAAGATACTGCTCAGTATCTTCCTCTTGTGCAGACAAAATTTCAGTTCCATTTTCTCCAGCTTCCTGTGAGACCCCCGTCTCTTCTAAAGGAACCACTTTGACACCCTTCAATTTGCAAGAGTTGACACTGTTCACAGATCTCGAATTTGTTGATTCAGACTCAGATAATGCTAATCTCCAGTAGTTAAAATCTAGAGATTCTGGAGGGCCATCAGGAATAGGAACTCCATTTTGTTCACACCAACTAGAAACAAGACCCTTAACACAGTAATTAGGGGTCAATGATACATGTGCAAGTTTCTGTTGAGTCTTTGGGCAGGTGTTGTGCCCATCGCACAACCATTTCTCTATGCAAACCCTCTCATAAGTTTGCCCAGAAGCAATTATAACAGGATCATACATGAGTTGCAGAGATATCGGACACCTTAACTCCTCTGGTGGAAGGGGCATTTGCCCTGATTTTCTATTATTTGGCTTAAAATTAAAAGAACTAAGTTTTGAGAGCTGTCGGTCAAAGGCTTGGGAATGACCACCAGCAACACATTCTTCCGTGGAGCCCATAACAGTGGGAGAACAAGGAGTAGAACCCTGAGAATCATTATCGTCAGAAAACTCACTTCTAAATAACTTAGAGTATTTCCTCATGAGGTGTAAAAGATATGCGACAATTGATTCCTTTCGCTTGTCATCTTCAGCCCGAGCTCTTTCAATATGTTTCTTGAGAGCTCTTCTTTCAGTAAGAGCTGCTCTAGAAGATGTGATTCCTAGTCTAGTAGCAGCCTGGTGAAAACATTCAAGCTCACTACTATCAGTAGAGTCGTTAAACTTTCTCCCCTGCTGGAGCAAAGCAATTAAATTATCACCAATTTGCTTCTCCATTGGGTCAAGTGCCAATTCCATACTTTCAAGTTCACTCACAATCTCTTGAATCTGCACAGACACCATCCATGGAAAATATCTTAATATTAGTTCACACTGACTATTTAAAGTAACAAGGAAATGGCAACATGTATGCATAATCAATCCAAGGATCTAAAAGAGCCCCCATTCACTCATATGTTTAAAAAAGCAATCATGAGGCCTTGTAATAATATCCACAGAAGTACTGCAGCAGGATCATAAACCGCAAAAGCAAAGAGCATTTTACACATGAAACACATGACATATAACCAACGTCGGAGTCCATTACCTGACATCCAATAGATTGTGGGACGATATCTTCCACCCTTTTAAGACTATTTTCAAGAGCACATTTAGCTCTCTCAAATTTTAGAACAACAGAATCCCCAGTTATAGCCTGCAATTCATGTAAATCCACAGGCTAAGGTAAACTTAAATTCACTTTACTTGCTGCCAGAC